ACCAAGCTGCCGCCTGCTTAATTTAAAATTCTTTCTGTATTTGGCTGGGATACATGTATATGCTCCCAACACTGTGGTCTTCACTACTTGATAATCAGAAAATTCAGCGTCATTTAATACTGACGTAAATTCCTGTGCCTTGCCCAATAATGCTGTATGAACCAACGATGCCCAATGTTGTTCCGGCCACCTCAAGGCTCGAGCCTGATTTTCGAAGCTTTCGAAAAATTGTTCTGGTTCGGCCTCATTGAAGCGGGGAACAAGCTGTACTGCTTTTTGTAAACTAAAATCATTTACAGAATGCGAAAACTGCCTCCTTTCTCTTTCCCTATCAAATTCTTCCTTTGCGAATGCTCTCTGTTCCCTAGTTTGCTCAAGATTGATTTTTGCCAGCTCAAGTGCCAACGATGCTGATTCACCTTGAGACAACCCAGCTGCACTATACTGACCATTTTGCTCCGTAGGTGTATCATCTTCCTCCTGCGAGAACATAGTAGTTTTTGCCCTAGCTCCCGTAGAGGGAGGAGTCTGATGTGCCATCTCTTCTTCTATAAGTTTGTCAGCAATCAGTGAACGCAGTTGCGCAGCTGTGAGAGTGCGTTTGTATTAATGCCAATGGAACGAGCAATTTGCCAACAACGCTGTAGGGACAATTTAGGTAGGTTATGCAAAGTATATGCCGACACCAGACGTCTGACTCGTCTAGGTGGCATAAGTTATTCGCTATGCACAGTACGATTGCAGAATACCCCAACGTAACACATTAATTTGCAGAACACGCTTAGCTATGCACAGTACGATTGCAGAATACGCATACAAGCAAAGCCGACTGCAAAATTCTCCACACCGAACAGTCTAGTAACAACTGACACGCAAAATTTGTAAAGCAATTCCAGACAGCTACACTGTTCTAGAAGATTGACCGTAGCGAAGCGAGCACACCGAACAAGCTAGTAGCGAGCTGTTAAACGATCACACAATAGCAAGGCTGACCATAAAGCAACTGACACGCAAAATTTGTGAAGCGTAGGCAAAGCTAATGCAAAGCCAGACAGCAAGCTGCACAATGTTCCTGCTACGAGCTTCACCCTAAGCTCAACCGTTTCTCTAAGTCCAGCTCCAGCTCTCGGACAGGCTACCATATTACAACCCAGGAATCCAAATGGCCTGTTATCCCGGGTGTAATGGGAGCAAAATAAACACAGCAGAAAAAGTTTAGACTTATATTATCCTTCACCAATTTAGAACAGCAATATGTACACTATGTACAGTGATAAGTATAGTGCACTCCACGATAAGCAAGGCAGAATAGAAGCCACAAGATAGCAGACCGTGCTTCAACCAGCTCTAGAAGGGGAATGACAAGGGCAGACAGGAGAGCGGTACCCACATAACCTCTGCGATTGCCAAAACCATCTTCTTATTGGCTAGAACCTGGTTACTAGTTGAACGACGGGGCCCCATCATCAACTCTTAGTAACCTGGTTCGCTGGTTGGGGGAGATAGCCTGTAAATGAGGGTGTGTACATGCGCCGAATAAAGGTTACGTACTCTTTGCATGCCACATCTGTTAATACAGTGGAACCTCTACTTGCGAGCGTGTCCACGTGTGAGTTTTTCCAAATAGTACGAGCAACCGATGGGTCGATTTTTTGCTTCCATACGCGAGCAAAATTTCCACGAGCGAGCAGACCTCAAGGCAGGTTCCTTGACACTGGTGAGGGGCTCTTGCTCTTGATCTCGGAAATTGTATCTCCTTTGTTTGTTGGACTATCTTATTGAAACTTGGGCAATGTATGATGGAAAGATGCTTCTTAACATACACCAAAAATGAAAGAAATCTAAGTATAAATAATGGAGTTCACTTTTCAGCAATTAGCCACCCCTTAGCGATAATTTCGAATGGTTTTCATGGTTGTATTCTCATTATTTTGGTCTCATTTGATAGAATGGAAGATATATTACAGAAATTTATGATTTTAATTGCTTTCATGACAAAAAGTACCTTGAAATTGAGCTCAGCCTAGGACAAATGGCCAACTGCTTGGCTGTTTCAGAGTAAACAAATGACGTCACTGTCCATTCCAGTATGCAGTCGTGAATGGGTTGACATTATTTATACAATTATTGCAACAAGGAATAACAGTAAATCTTATATTTTTTGTGTGAATAAAAATTACAAATTATTTATATAATAATAATAATGATAATAATAATAATAATATGTATAACACGTATAATAATAATAGTATAATAATACAATACAATAATAATAATATATGTATTTATTTATTTATTTATTTATAAATTTTAGCATACATACAGAGGTACAAAAAAAATACAGGTAAGAGCAGCATGCCAAAGCCACTTATATGCATAGCATTACGGGCTGGCTTAAAATTAACTTAAGATTAACTAAGCAATGATGAAATCAGTGATAAGACATTATTGTAAACAGATAACTATAAAATACAAATGGGTATTACAAAGACAGAACTATAAAATACAAATGGGTATTACAAAGACAGGTCATATGGTTGCATGCATTGCTGTTCATTCAGGTAGTGTATTTAAAAAAAAATAACAGTTAGGTTTAACATTTGTGTGATATAATTGTGAGTAACATTTAGGATATACAATTTATATGGTTCAGTTATTCAGTATTTATTTGGTTTTGAGTGAGTAAGTGAACTTTGAGAAGAGACTTGAATTTATAAACAGGTAGTGTTTCTTTTATATTTACAGGTAATGAATTCCAGATTTTAGGGCCTTTTATGTGCATTGAGTTTTTGCATAGCGTGAGATGGACACGAGGAACATCAAAGAGTGATCTGTGCCTTGTATTATGGTCGTGTGTTCTGTTGAGGTTGGCAAGGAGATGTTTGAGGGGAGGGTTAATATCAGAGTTAAGTGTTCTATGTATGTAATAAGTGCAATAATAAGTATGGATGTTTTGTATGGTGAGTAGGTTGAGTGTTTTGAATATTGGTGGAGTGTGCTGCCTGTAGTGAGAATTTGTTATTCTAACTGCAGCCTTTTGTTGGGTAATTAGTGGTCTGAGATGGTTAGTTGTTGTTGAGCCCCATGCACAAATTCCATAGGTGAGATAGGGGTAAATAAGAGAGTGATAAAGGGCCAGGAGGGCTGACTGTGGAACATAGTACCGTATCTTCGATAGTATGCCTACAGTCTTGGAAATTTTCTTAGAAATTTGTTGTATATGTGTATGAAATTTGAGTCTATTATCGAGGTGGATTCCTAAGAATTTTCCCTCTGTTAGCTTTGTGATAGGTGATCCGTTTATCGTTATGTTAAGAGGTACATCTGTAGCTCTGCTACCAAACTGAATGAAGTAGGTTTTGTCAATGTTTAATGCAAGTTTGTTAGTCCTCATCCAGGTAGATATTTTCTGTAATTCGGTGTTTACAGTATTGGCTAGCGTGACTGGGCTCGGGTGAGAGAAGACGTATGTGGTGTCATCTGCAAAAAGTGTGGGTTTGAGTAATTGCGAAGCATTTGGTAGGTCATTTATGTATAGGAGAAAGAGAAAAGGGCCAAGGACACTTCCCTGTGGGACACCAACTGTAATTGGTTGTGCGGAAGAGCTTGCCCCATTTGCGTATAATAATAATACATATATAATAATAATGTACTACATATAACAATTATAATAGATGGCTTCAAAAGGCCGTCACTAGATGGCAGTGTTTACCACAACAAAGAGGGAGCGGTTGTGGCTGCCTCCACCTGTTACATAACAACGTATTTTATTCATTCTAGAGTATATATCATGTTTCTATGTTATTTTTGTTATGTCATATTAGATGACCTGTGATATATAAGTAAGCCGTATAGATGATATTAGCAAAATTATTCATGAAGTATTTTCATCGGTCTCCAGACAAACTCTCGTCCACCGCCGACACCGCCCATACCACTACATGAATGACATATTTTATTCATTCTAGAGTATATATTATGTTTCTATGTTATTCATATTGTTTGTTATGTCATATTAGATGAACTGTGATATATAAATAAGCCATATATATGATATTAGCGAAATTATTCATGAAGTATTTTGCCCGGTCTCCAGACAAACTCTCGTCCACCGCTGACACTGCCCATACCACCACATGAATGACATATTTTATTCATTTTAGAGTATGTATCAGGTTTGTATGTTATTTATATTGTTTATTATGTCATATTAGATGAAGTGAGATAGATAAATAAGTCGCAGAGTTGATATTAGCAAAATTATTGAAGTACAGAATTCCACTGGAACGGATTAATTGCATTTCATTTAATTTAAATGAGGAAAATTGACTCTGCAGACGAGCAAATCCAGTTGCGAGCAAGGTCATGGAACTGATTAAACTCGCAAGTAGAGGTTCCACTGTATATGTAATAGTTTGGGGAATGTTGCCTCCACAGCCGGATCCTGATTTCAGCTTAAACCTCCTGAACTGAACAAAGTGCATGTTCTAGCAACCTAAAGAAAATCCATCCTCTCATAGGCCAGTTATTAGAGGTGCCAGTCTTATCTGGCCATTTTCAGATTGGCCCTATGGTCATGACATTTTTATTAATCATTGTATGGTTAAGAAAGCATCTACTAATTATGACAGTAGCATTCGTGTGCCATAGCTGTTTTGTGAGGAATTTGACCAGACTGAGCCATGAGTAATTATACATATGAAACGAGTTGTAGTACAGTATTATACTTTTATTATGCTGAATTTACTGTAGATTCCAGGGAAGGATTTACAAAGCTGGTTGGTAAGTATTATACTTAGATGGACATTACATAAATAACAAAAAAAGCATAATACCATGACTGAAACAATACACAGGTAACCTGCACATAGGAGAGAGGAGCTTACAACGACATTTCGGTCCAATGTGGACCATTTACAAAGTTGTAAGCTCCTCTGTCCTATGTGCGGGTTATTTATGTATACATTACATAGTATAAAATTTTTAATGTCTCTTATTTATCAGCTTTTTTCTTTTATAGGGTAGCGATGACCCTGCTCGAGGTTCATTGATGGAGATGACTTACTGCCGTGTTTCTGGAGCAATACGGTCTCAAATGGGGAAACGCCACATAATTGTGTTCCGCATTGCACCCATCACAGACATCAACTTGATTACTACTCACATTCTTGAAGTTATACATTGTGTATTGAAGCTTCAGCATCTTAACAGCCTGGTAAGCAAATATGGGATATCTCCCTCTTGCAAGTTCATTTGTGTTGCACACAACTGCACCTAAATTGGGAACTTGGGAGCCAGTTCAGTTTTACAAGCCAATTGATTCATGTGGACACCTTGTAGAATTGAGGCAGCTACCTCATGGTGTTTTACAACTGGTTCTCAACCTGTGGACCATGGACCCTTGGGGGCCACTGAGTTATTCCAAGGGGTATAACAAGTCTCATGGCAAGTGATGCTCCTCCAGGCAACACTTGGAAATCCTGTGTTTTCCATCAATGGCTTTCTTTGCCACACTTGAGGTTTGCTAAATTTTAAAAGTTTGAAAAAAGGGGTTGTCATACTTGGAATAAGTTGGGAACCACTGGTCTAGTATTCTAGTACTGTATATTGAAAGAATGAAGGCTGTCACAAACCATTGAGTAGCACTAAAGAGTGCACCTAATTATTTTTTTTATTTTTTTTACCACACTGGCTGATTCCCACCAAGGCAGGGTGGCTCGAAAAAGAAAAACTTTCACCATCATTCACTCCATCACTGTCTTGCCAGAAGGGTGCTTTACACTACAGTTTTTAAACTGCAACATTAACACCCCTCCTTCAGAGTCCAGGCACTGTACTTCCCATCTCCAGGACTAACTGCATATATTAGTGTCAAATAATCCATTAGTATTAAATTTATAAACTTAAATATCAAGCAACAAAACTATATGCAGTAATTGTGTGAATTGTCATTGTTTAAAACATCGCAGGCATGATAGAGCTGGGTGTGCAAACAGTTGACCTTGTCAGTTTGTGAAACGAAGGCAAGAACCTATCGGGGAGATACACACACTTTCCTGCTCCTGTGTTATGTGCTTCCATGGGTGACAGAATAACCAGTCTACTAATAGTATTAGGACTAGACAATATTGTACTTATGCATGTTTTCCTTTATATTTTAGCAAAATTAAGCCATTTCAAGACAGAAATGCCTGTATTTTATATACTTTATTGTCCATCTCATTTGCTTTATTTTTTTTCATTTAGGACATCCTTCATGAAGGGGTGCCTTTATTCTGGTGTGAGACTCCTGATCAAAGGGATTGGAGCTACCCTCCCCTTCCTTTGATCAGAGCTAATTACTCCCCTTCCCCTTTCTTTTCCCAGGCATGGTATGACCCTATCAGGTTTTGTGCTTCCCATGAATATCATTTAGTTTAAGCTAGAGCTCACAGTTAAACACGTGTGGTATCTGTATCCATCATGCATACTCCCACACTCCTGAGATCTACAGCTTTAATTTTTCTTATCTAAACTAATTTCATAATTTTAGTTTCTGTCTCAAACACTGGTCCTTTAAGTGTAATCATTTTTTAAATGTACTTTTAATTGTAATTTAATGAAAGATTGTTTGGATGTTTTTCCTGGGTTGATGCCAAGGGAGGAGACACAGGACCAAGTCATCCAGCAGTGATGTCTAACTCTCTGGTTGGAGCTTCTGGTTTGGATGGAGGAACCAAAACCACCAATATGGGTGGTATGAACATGCAAGGTCTTAATGCCCAACAACGCATGGTGTTCCAGGCTATCTACCAAAGTTCAGATGAAGGGGGAGCAGGACGAGAGAACATTTATTCCGTTCTTAAGGGAAAACTATCTCCTCCACAAATTGAGTGAGTACATTTTTGTTAATTATTCACTAGGCTGTAGCATTGT